TAGTAGCAAGGCTGCACTCGTAAACCCACTTTACGTGCGGGTGCTAGAGGTCGAATACCACTGCAGGGAGTTGCATACAACCCAACCCCAACTCGCAAATCTCAAGCACGGTTTCTCCATCGACATAGCTTCTTACTCCCAACAGGGCGATCTGTTGTATGTGATTCCTCGGTCCAAGTGATAAGAAAGAAAATTGAGAGACTAAACAATGCGCTAGGACAAGCAGGCAGTCGCTCCAAGCAAACCATGCGAATTCGGAACTGATTCTGGCAGATTCTCAAGGTAACAAGATACCTCTTGAGCCTGTCATTGGTATTTGCATTACCCGTGCTCCCGTGATTGGCGAGCTGTTTGTCGTCGAGCTCGAAGACCGTCGGAAAACTCAAGAAGCGTCATATTATATGTATGTTCAATCCCTGGGACGACAATATAACGCACAAACTAACCTGCAACATCAAAGGGCATATTCAATCACCATGGCCCAAATTTCCGAAAATGGGAAGTCCCTTATTTGCTTTTCGTCGGATTGGGACAAGGTCTCGAATACTATCATATCGATGGAAATCTTCAAGAGAAGCGCCCAAATTGGAAAGCAAAGCATAGCTAAAGTACAAGCTATTACTACTCTCCCAACTAAACCTAAAGAACAAAATGCAGAATCGAATCACAACCTATGAATCAGCATAAATCTATCAGAACACCCATCCAGTTTAACTCAATGCATTGCTGTCCACATCTCCGTCTAATTTACCCTCAGTACATATAATGTTCAAGGAAATTACATCAGACACTGAAAACATAAGTAACAGGAAGCCAAAAATACCATGCACCTACAAAGTAGTGAAGGGTATGCTTGGTACATCCCGAGAGTGATGTCACTTTGCCACTTGTTCTTCACGTTTCCTCAATCCGCGAAACAATCAGAAGAAGGTGCGGTCTGGGAGGTAGTCGACGATGACTCCGAGATTGATGACGAAGAACTCGGTGTCGTCAAAGCGGAGGACGCCTTGGTGGAGGATATCGTGTCAGTAGCAATACATCGGCTGCCATGCTTGAGTCCGTTGTCCAATGTACATGCTGACTTGTCGCCTTGGTAATTGAAGAAGCTGACCAGGCCAGTATGTTCCACCTCAATCCATGCAACTGACGAATTTTTTTCCGTGCCACAAGCCCCCACGCCACTCACAGGGTAACCTTGAGGGGTGCCGGTCTTGACGCGCAAATCTACAACTTTGTTAGTACCTTTTTCTGATTTCCATCTCCGGCATTTGCTTACTTGCACAGTCATCTCCGTCAAGTTTGCTAAAGAATTCCGAAGATCCCGTGCAGCCATGGTTGTCATAGGACCATATCGCGCATTGACCATCAATATCAATGATCTCAAGGGTGCCGGCGAGAGATCCGCTTGCATAGGCACTAGCGAGGATCATGATGATGGAGAAACGCATTTTCCTTGTTTTCTGAGGAATTATAGGAGCTTAAATTCGAAAATATCTTGTGTGCTGCGTCTTGTGTCCTGTATTTCTCACCCGATTGATTTAGTGTTGTGTGTAGTCAAGCAAAACGAGGAAGGATAACAGAGGCTTTTATAGAATTATCCTGAGATTTCTGAGAGGCTTCAGGTTGCCTGTAGGGGGCACATATTGACTTAAAAATGTCAGTCTGCTGACCAAAGTTGAGGTGCATGGGAGATTAACACTTTGGCAAGTATGGTCGGTTATTGAGGCTCACTATGCGGTCAGGAATCGGTTAGATCAGTTTAGGCCAGCTAAGACAACTTGATGCTTGCCCAATAACCCTTGACGTATCTAGGGCTAGAACATGCGGGCGACCTTTTCAGAACTGATGAGCTCCGGAGTTCTGAGGTACTTCCTTACAACATCTCACCAGATTACACCTCACAACCCGGCCGAAGGACAATGGCTTGTTACAGCTTTATGGCGTGTCGTCGTGGCTGAAGAAGTGAGGACTGGATATGCACTTGGACACTTGTGGCGTAGCAGGCCATTATCGAAGTGATGTGCCGCGTCTACGATAACGCGGGGCGCGAAATGCACAACCATAGATTTCGACCTTGGTCTTTGTCCATTCTGATAGAGCTATGCTATTCATAACCGAGGACCCATGTATCCAATTACGAGGCGTATCAGGCCGTGTGTGTGGTCGGCGGTCTTGTTCCGGAAGTAGGCCGACCCAGCCTTGGTCCCCACAACACACTGTGTTGAAAGATCCAATTCATGTTTCTGAGGCACTACAACACGGTGCGGGTGAGTTGCCTCTGGCTTTTTGTTAGCCTTTTCGTCTCTTCAACCCAACAGTCCGCTGCATACTGTATGTTGCGGCGGGCAGCCGCACTTTGTCGAGGCCATGAAACACATACTGATACAACAGAATGCCCTTGAACTTTACTCCTGTGCATCCAAGTAGCATCCTGCATCACTAAAATGAAATAGAACCCGCCAAAAAGCACATTGATGGCAAAAAGCATATCCATATTTTATACTTTGGGAGATATGGGACATCCTCTCCCACCATTACTATATAGCCTATCATCCCCCAGCTTGGTCATGGGCTCTCGCGACCCTGGCCTTTGGCTTTTTCGAAGTGTGTAAAGACCATGTCCTCTCAATCCACCACAACCATGGATGGTGAATTCAAGCGCCTCAAAAATATCCAGATGAATGCGCTGGACGAGAACATCATGGCTTTCCTCGAAGCAACTCACATATCGGTCCAATCCGAGGGCATATGCAACCCAAGGGGCCCTTTCAAGAGGTCTCTGATTCATTATGCCGCTATGGGGGATTGTACTGAGCTTCTTTTACGACTTCTGGATATTGGTGCGCCAATTGACGATCGCGATCAAAACAAACGTACCCCTCTCTCCTGGGCTGCTGAGTATGGCTCTTACAA